AAAAAAAAAAAAAAAGAAACAAAGAGTTTTACAGAAGGAACAGTACAAATGACCCCGAGGTGTGGGGCCCACCCTTGGGAAATCCCACTGAGAAGCCACACAGGCATTTACCTGAAAGCCTGAACGATGACTGTGCCAAAGAGGATGAAGAGAGCAGAGAAGACCAGGGACAGAAGGGGCATCATTTCCCGCCTAAAACAAAGGGAATAAACCCTGGTCAGCTCTGGATGGGCTGTGACCTCAGTTCATGATACGAGGTATCTTCTCCCTGGCTCAAACAAAACCAAAAAAAAACCAAAAAAACAAAACAAAACAAAAAAACCAAAACCAAAACCAAAAAAACCCCAAACCAAAAAGGCTTCGTATCAATAAACACTTTCTAGTTTCATACAAATAGAGGTTTCTTTTGAGGGTGAGGGTGGTGGTGGGGAAAGCGGACAGTTTTTCCCTCACCATTTTAGCTCAGACTGCTTATTCCAAAAGCTTGATATTACGGGGAGCCTGGGAGGCTCAGTCGGTTAAGCGTCCGACCCTTGATTTCGGCTCAGGTCATGATCTCATGGTTTGTGAGTTCGAGCCCCACATCAGGCTCTACACTGACAGCATGCAGTCTGCTTGGGATTCTCTCTCCCTCTCTCTCTGTCTCTCCCCTGCTCATGCTCTCTAAGATAAACTTTAAAACAAATAAATAAAATTTTGATATTCTGTCTCAACGTAATAGGTTCTGCTTAGTAAGTTCTGCAGAAGGAAGTCAGAGGATTTACGTTGTGAATGTGGGAGAACATTCTGATGTCAAGGGTGCTATCGGTGGCTAAAAAGTGTGTGGGACTCTTTCCTCTATTTTGATTTTTTTCTGGCCAGAATAACTCAGACATGGCCCAAAGGGGGTAGAGCAGGAAGAAAAAGGTGACCTTTCGCAATTTCCTCTAGGACCGGCGCTCTAAAATTTAATTCGCCCGCCGACAGTCCTCCAAGGCCTGCCATTTGTCAGGAGCTGTGCTGGGTGCCAGGAACCACCGACGTGAGGGCGACGTGGCTCTGTCCTTCAGGAGCTCGCGGTACTTTGGGGGGTGGGGGTGGGACATGCCTCCCTTCTCTGGTTAACTCACTGACGGGTTTGTACGTCTCTACGCCGGCCCCCGTGTGGGCCAGGCCCTGGGCTGGGCATCAGGGGCGCCTCGATGGAGAGGACAGGCCCAGGCTGTGCCGCGTGCAAGCACGGCCCCGGGTGATCCTTTCTCACCCAACCAGTGGGAGAGGGTCAATCAGCAAACACGTAAAAAGTGAAGTGACTGCGAGAAGGAAAAAGGGAACGAACACGTGTCGGAAACGTGTACCCGACCTGCCACTTGTCTGGATCAAGTTTACACTGAAATCGAAGGACAGAGTTTTCAAGAGCAACACAGTGGTTCTATTAGCATTGGTGAAAGAGAAATTCAATGTAGCAATGTTCCCACCAGTTGTTGTGAAATATGCTGTCCCAGCAGTCCGAGATGTAGTCGGAAGCGGAGTAGAGCCACCGGAGGAGGAAGATCTGTTGGGAGAGAAAACACACGTCGGTCAGGACGGGGCGCCCGAACCCCAGGGGGGAGAAGTCCTTGCCCACGACAGCGTGCCGCCAGCCTCTGCTCAGGCTCCTCACGAGCCCTGCCCGGAGCCCCCTCTCCTGGGCCACGTGCTTACAGGGGCAAGTTCATCGGTCAGGTCGGGGAGCACTGCCTCCGAGGACAGGAGAGCGGGGTCTCTGCGCAGCTGGTCGAGATGGCCCAGGAGGGTGAACTTATCGCTCTCGCTCCCTGTCCAGGGAGCTTCGAGGGTTTTATACACTACCCTTCCTCCCGTGGTGCGCCTTTCCAAGATAGACACCTGGCGGGAAAAGAGAGGAAGCCGTCAGGAGTCTTTCCAAAAGGATGGGAAGTTCCTGTTTGGTCTTTTTTCGGGGGGGGGGGGGGTGGAAAAAAAGATCAGTGGGTGCTAATGAACAAAAAACACGGATATGGATCGGTAGAAAATATGCAAAGGGTACTTTTTTTTCTGGCAAAGAAACTAGGGTGACTTTCCACAGCTTTTGCTAAGAGTTAAAGCTCTTTCTTCTGAGTAGACTTTTTTCTGTAACCTCTGACTTAATATAATAAAGAAACTTTCTCGTTTAGAGAGATTTTCCACGATTACCAAAAAGATGGCAAAGAGAGGATTTAATGCTTCTGTAGAGTGATGACAAAGGAGGGGAAGGGAAGGAGAGATCAATTAAAATGCAGTGAAAAGAGGCAGAAGTAAAGGAGGGAGAAATTTTGAAAGCCTTTTACTGGTGGTCTAAGGAAGATTTTACAAAGTAGGTACTCTAAGACTAGACCCGGCATGGGGAGAAAAACTGGGGAAAAGAACTGACACTCCTGAACCTTTACTCATAGGAAAGATGCTTTCTGTGAAGGTCTAAGGCTGAAAATCTAGGAGGTGAAATCCCCAAGGTCCAAGACTGTTTCAGGAGTAGGCTTTCAAAACAGGCTCAGAGATTTCTGGACCCCTGGAATCTGTATTCAAAACTCCCAAAGGAGGAGGAAACAGTATCAGGCGCCATGAGCTTGTCAAGAGCTCAGAGTCAGAAGAGAATCCATGACTCACCGCGGATCTTCCTGGAAACGTATCGCTGTCCGGTACTAAGGTGGTGGCAAACTCCTGCTGCCGGTTACTGTACATGTGCACGAATCTCACTGTGTCCTGTGTGTTTGCCAGGGCAAAGGACAGGAAAGCCTCAAAGGGTTTCCCCAGCTTGGTAGCCTCGGGAGTCAGTAAAACCACACAGTACCTGCACAACAACAAAAGAGAAGACTTTATGAACTGATCTCCGAGGCCAAGGCTAGGAACTGCGACGGCAGGTGAAGGCGACGAGGAGCAGGCGCTCATTTGACAGACGAAAGCCGGGTGTGAGAAGGTCTCCAACGAGGGATTTCCAAGTCACCGATGACCTGTTCTTTTCCAGACTGGTGATGTCTT